TTTAATAGAAGGGCAAGCTTTTCATGTACCCCAACAGCAGAAAATTTATATACTTCCCCCTTATCTGGTTATCCATTTTGAATGAATGGTTGAGATGGCCCCAATCACAATGTTATGTCTCTACACTTTTTTATTTTACATTTTTTTCTACAAAATATTGTAACCCCAAATTTTGGATTTCCACTCCTTTCTTAAACTCGCACTTATAAAAAATATAATTTTTTATTCCAATAAGACAAAATGACCAAAATACATTTTAAGGGGTATTTTGGTATATTTTACCAAAAATTTATTTTTAATGTTTTCCGCGCATAACAAATTTCATATTCATACAATGTGTAGAAAAAACTAAAAATAAAATACTCTGATGTGTCAGATTTAAATCAAACTGTGGCTCACTTGATCTAAATTGGACAGCTGGATGAGGAAGGAAGTATATACCTTTTATGCAATGGGGGAAGTATAGAAACCTTTCCCCTAATAGAAACCCATATGTGAAGGTGGATACAACAAATTCTCTGTCCTTCATATCTCTCTTTATTATCAAGTGTTCGTAAAATCAAATCGGAACGGTTAACCGACATGGGCATGGAACTGGTTTAACCGGCCTAACAGGTAAACCGGCCAATTCAACCGCAGAACTCTTGACTTATTTGCTAGAAAATCTGAAAAGTGAACCATGCTTTTGAAATGTTTTGTTTTTTTATTGGTAATTAAGGAAGTAGCATGAGCCTAATGATGAACTTATTTATTTATTTGTTTTGATTTGTTAACAGTACGGAGTTGCAGCTTCAACGTATGAAAGTTTTTGTATACAATGAAACCATTTACTTTTCATACAAAGAGGTCACAATTATATATAACCAATGTGAAATTTAGTAGCTTGGAGTTCAAAAAAAATTCTTTTGAAGTTTGTATTTAGTCAATGGAATAAATGCAACTATCAAATTTCACATCCAATGGTCAAGATTAATTATGACCACCTTGTTCCAAATTTAAATGGTCTCATGGTATACTTTGCCTTCTGTTTTTTTTTTGGCGTTGCAAAGTGAAGGTATCTCTTAGGATACATAAAAAAAAGGGAAGGTTTTACCTTCAAAATATCTTTTTGAGTACCTAAAACAAAAGGAAAAACTTGATCAAAAAGTACTTTGATGATCCAGAAACATCATATATCATTCATGCAATTCAGATATAATGTTTTCTCAAAATGTGGTTTAATTTCGTTTCTTTTTGATCGTTCGTTAGTTCTTGAAACTTTTGAATGTTGAGCTTAATTATTCAAAGCCTCATTAGAAAAGAAAATTTTCATGAGCATTTTAAGGCAGAGATGATAAAAGGACCGAGACTGGGGCATGGGGTTAGCACAAGAAAGAGATGATAAGGGGCAAAGAACTTTCATGAAAGTAGGAAAAACAATTGTTTCGTGCAGGGTGGACTGTATGCTGTCCACAGGTATAAAGCATCTATCTTAAAGATGGATACAAATAAGTGGTCCACAGGTATAAAGCATCCATCTTAAAGATAGATACAAATATGTGCTCCATCTAAAAACAATTATAACTAACAGTCTAAATATTTTTTTAATATAATTGTTATTTTTAGTTTTAAAAATTTATTTATTTATTTATATTCATGATCTCCATGTTAAAGATTATGTATTCTCTAAAAAATAAGATCAAATTATATTCAAAAATATATATTTATTGCCAAGCCCGCATTTCTACATGTACAGGCTTGGCCGCATGCTAACCGTGTCCAAATAGAAATAAGTTTTCCACTTATTTAGTTGGACGACGTATACCCAAAAAATGAGGTATATGATGACGATATTTCTCTCCAAATTAAGGCATCAATCATTGGAGATGCCCCATTATCAAGGAAGAATCTCGTAAATTAATGAGAATATTTTTCTAGGAGGTATATGATGAGAATATTTTTCTAGAAGGCAGCTCCGTTAACTTGTCAGGCTTTGGTTAAAAGACCAATTTTGATTATATAAGCTTTATTATCGTTGGAATTTCAGAACTAAAACCTAAAAAGAATTCAAAGACAGATAATGTGGTGTACTACGCTCATGTAGTTATGGGAGTGTTGTCCCACTGTGTTGCATGCAATTCTTAAGCCCCAGGAAAGAAGCCGCTTCCTTTAGTTCTCATTTTCACAATCAAAAGCAAGAATACCGAGTAAACTGACATGGGATCAGGAATTCAATCAAGCGCAAATTCTTTAAAATAACAGTACAATTCTGTACAACAGCTGATGTTTAGACTTTATAAAACATCAGATATGACAAATAGCTTTGCAATATTTTTTTTTTTATTAAGCAATACTTTCTAAAGGAAAAAAAGTCATATAAGTGTGAAGCTCTAAACAATCAAATTAGAACACACCTCAAAAACTTTCACTAGAAAAGGCTGTTTCGATGTCCAAATATCCTCAAATTAATGTGATCAACCTCAAGATGCATGGACATGAGAAAAAAATAGATTTCAAGTTTTAGAAATAGTACATATTTTAATACATTTTTGGACTGTTGATTTTTAAGATTTTCAAGTTTTCATAGATCTGCTCGATCTATACTACTTTTAAGGCTTTAAATTTTATAATTAGAGATGAAATATATTTTAAGGCTATCGCAAAGATTTTCAATATTAAAAACCACATCTCTTGACAATATTTGAGCGTGCGCTTTACTTTGATGGTTTAGAGCCTCGGCCTTATACAAACCACACCCTTTTCTAAATACAAAAACCATATCGCACATAATGGAGAGCTTTGTTAAACATATAAATTTATATTATTATTATTTTTTCAAATATCAAAAGCTGGTATAACAGTAGTCATGCCGATGTGAAACCACCAACGTAATGCAGAAGTCAACCCATGTTTAATAAGGACCTGGTTTCTATGCGACCAAGCCCGCATATGTAGAAATGCGGGCCTATTAAAAAATCTATTTTTGAGATAGACTTTTGGACTTAATTTTTAAGGGCATGAATATGAAAAAATAAATAAATTTAAAAAGTAGAAATAATAATTCTAGTAAGTAGGGGTGGCAACGAGTTTGGTATGTGTCGGGTTCGGTAGACTTGAACCCAAACCCGAATAGATTCAAGTCCAGGTTTTGGACCTAGACCTGACCCGTCGGGTCCAAAAATAGGACCCATATCTGTACCTGTTCCTATGAGCTTCTTTTTTTCTTTTTTTTTCCCCCTTTTTTTACCATCATATACCCATATTATTAGAAACAAGGTCACAATCACGTACTATTAGATTTCAAGCCATGTGATTTATCGTTTAAAAGCTAAAGATGACTGCTAGATCTAATTATATATGATCCTTAATACACCCAAATGAATAGGGCTTAAAATAAAGTATTTTATATCTAACAATTTACGGGTACAGGCGGTTCCAATGGGACCCAGAACAGGACCCGTATGGTGTTCAAGTCTAAGTTTTGGATCCGGATCCAAACCACTGGGTCCAAATGCCAGACCCATACCCGACCCATGTCGGGTACACCCGGCAGGTCCCGGGTCAGGCCCGAGTTCATTGCCACCCCTACTAGTAAGAAAACATTTGGACCGTTAGTTTCCATTGTTTTAAATAGAACACCTACTTGCATCCAGCTTTACACTTTTTGGACCGCATATGTAGTCATGCAGTTTAGCCCGCATGAAACAAGTTTCCATTTGATAAACTCCAGTGATTCCAACTTAGTACAATTTGTTGTCAAAATCAAGATATACAGTGGGTGCTCTGATAATTTGTAGAATGATATTCGATAACATGCATTCATGAAAAATATCAGGAAGGACCATGCTCCATAGTGGCTAATTTATAATTCTTAATTTCCAAAAGTTTATACGAGATTGAGAGAACATACTATGAGGCTGCAAATGATTAGAATGTTTAATAGCTGCCCTATATTAAACTTACCAGAGCAAGAACTCAGCCTCATCTGCCACATGTTAGCCTAGGTCCTAGGTTAGACGGGCCTTGCGGTCTATTCCCATAACTGTTCTCAGTTGATGTAAAACCCATCGCCTAAACATTTTAAACATTTGTACTAAAAGCAAGGTTTCGGATGGACTCGCCAGTTACATTTACTCTGATACCAACTCAATTTGGCACGGCATAAAAAAGTCAATGCATTTCCCAGGATAATCATGAAGACTAATTAGGAAACTATAATATGGGAAAGACAGCATGTTATCTCTACACTTGTCCCATGGGCTAGAGTTGTATGTCAACTTTTCGACACATTAAGACACTCCAGATTGCATGAGTTTCAAACAGGTAAGTTTTGGGGTAGGTTTGAACATTGAACCATCTCCAAGGAATGAAAGTGAGCATTTTTCACAAGAGATGGGAGTTGGGACGCACACATTGAGTAGTACATGAATGAATCTATGTGGATGTTTGTACAAAGAAAACTCTCAAGAGGTCATATGGCATGTTCCTCATTGCAATTACCCCTTAAGTACATGTTTCTTACATTAATACAACAGTTGCAGTACCTGCTCAAAGCCCACGCTAACTTGACAAAGAAAAACACGTTTGAACCAAAGCACTCAAGAGAGACATGCAACGTGTTATATAGTGTGTATAACAAAGCAATCAGAGAACATGTTACATAGAGATTGAACTTCATTGTTATACACACTGTATTACAATTTCACTTAAAAAAATATAATTGTACGAGTTTGTCATGCTAGTTTGAAGTATTTGTTGTAGTGTGTAATGGATGCTGACACTTGTATCGATGCCCATATAAAACTCGAAGCTGAGCAATTGCCATGGAAATGGAAATAAACCACAAGAATATTTTGGACCAGATAAATAGCCCCTCAGTCAATACAGCTTGCCAAGTCTGTCAACTTAGTTGCAAATAACGATTCACTGGGTTGACTGAGTCATGAGTTGACATGCAACGTTTCTGAACCACGATGTCAAGAAATCTTTAAGAAATAAAACAGTTGGAGTCTCACCACATATTTCTCCATAAACAATGTGGCTCATGGCATTTCAAATATTCAAATATCAGAAGCATAATAGTCATATATTTCAAACTATTCTAAAACATATCCTTGCAGCAATCTGTAAAAATCCAAAGCAATGTATAGCAAAGATAACATATTCTGAGTTTGATAAGACAGTTTACATTTTACTTTCCACCAATTTTATTAAAAGGGCTCTTTTAGATGGGATAACGAGGATGTTCTCTGCTCAATCTGTTTCCAATGAGAGCAGTTCAAACCGCAGCCTGGAAACATTCTTACCAAAGAAAAGCTTGACAAGTATATACTTCAACCTTTCAGAAAACTAAGATACACTATGTGTAAGACATAAATGGATGGTAGCATATTAGGAACCTTGGCAAGGAAGGTGGGTACAGTGACAAACTGGTCTACCAGAAGCCTGCCATCCATTGAAGCCTCTCTCTAACACCATAATCTCCCTTATAGCCCCATCTGGATCACTTTCTGCCAAATAGTCCGAGAACTGTTGTGCACAAGATGGCCCGCGAACCTACAAGAGATGCCTCGTTTCAGATAATTATGGATTTTTATTCACATATTCATATATAAGGATTGATTACCATGACACATGTAACATACGAACAGTATGATGCATGTCACCCACAGCCCATGCAACTATAGGAGGTGGGGATGACATGTATGATATATGATGTATCGTGCTGTTTGCGTTGTGTAAACTAATCATATCAAAAGGTATTTTGTTCATTCATTCCATCCCTTGCTAGGAACATTAAGTCACCATCAATTAACTTCAGGTAGTGAATTTCGATGTGCTGTTCTAAATTAAATAAAAATAATTTTAGTGTCACTAAAACTAATGCATAATCTCTCCATCAGTTCAACTGTTACATTAACAGAATAAAGGCACTAAACAACAATAACCTCAATCAAGTCTAGGCCCTTGTTCTTTGGGAATAATATCAGAAAAATCAGAATGTATGGGATGACATTTCCACATGAGAGCATAGAATTCACATCACAGTTTGGTTGATGCTTCACTACAGTAAGGAGAGGAGAGAGAAAGGAAAACAGGTAATGCCGTAGTGGAACAGCAGCACATTTAATTATAAATCAAATAGTAATTAATATGTTCACACCTATAAAAATAAAAATATGAATAAAGTAAAAGTATGTTAAACACAGTACAATGATCCACGATACTGGTAAGCCTGTGGAGCTGAGTTCTTGCTCTGCTAGAGCAAGAAGTTCTTTAATGTAATGCCCATTCTCCATTAAGATCGGATGGTGGATGGCTATGTTTATGTTATAGGGAATAACCATACGCACCATGTGCAGAGTGTTCCAACAAATGAATGTCAGATATGTGTCAATGTTCGATTGTCACACTGAACACGAATAATTGCAAATTTTGTGAATAAGTCAGGTCTGTGAATGCTTGTTCATGATACTAAAAATCAAAGGTGGCCAATTTTAAGAATCAGGAACCACTATCCATCATCCGATAATTATTTCTTTAGCACGAAGCTCTAGAATGCGCATTCTACATATATTACGGCACCGTTAACTGGTGGATATGTGTGTTTAAAATAAAAAGGGACACTATTGCTAGAGAACATAGGGATTGTACTGTTACTAATGTAAATGAATGAAAATCAAGGTTTGTTGAGACATCTGGATTGCTAGATCAGTATACAATATCATACAACTTAACTTTAATATCACATATAGTCCTATAATTCATTTTTGTAGCTTATGGAATTATAATGAACGAATGTTTCTTGATTACCTCAGTTTAAAGTGATCTTTTTTTCTAGTGCTTTTTAAGTGTGATTTTAGGATTTAATTACCAAAATTTTATAGTCATTTTTGCAAAAAATTGTCACATACTAACTCACATTGTAATATTTTGCTTTTGTACCAATGATTTCCTTATTTTTGGAAGTTTTGAAGAGTTTGCGCAATTTATTAAGCCTGGAGACATACACTAATAAAGAATTCAATCCTCATTTACCTTCCCACCATAGATAAAATTTAAAATTTCACTTATTTTTTGTTTTTGCTTTGCATGCACGCATACATACATATACAGCTACATATGTACATACATCCATACATGCATGATGCACAGATGCACGCCATGCATATATCAACCCTTTAAATATTTATTATATTTTACGTCCTAGGTATCCCTTGCTTTAAACTCAAGTTCGAAAAGTCACTCGAGTCAACTCAGACTCAATGAGTTACATGGGCTCGGCAGGTTACTAAGCCTGGGATAGGGTACACATATACCCTACATAGTACTTGGTCAAGTGCAATATAGACTTGCCTGAAATCTGTACAAACTCAGAGTAACTAGCCGAAGTTTGTAGAGTACTTGGACGAGTTGCTACAATACACACTTGAGTACCGTACACTTCTCAATTTAAAAGAGCCCCCACAGGGGGCGGTGGGATGAGGATGAATCTATCCCAGTTTTTTCTTCATTTTCATTTATTGAAGGCCTTAAGAGTAAATGTTTTGAGCCAAATTTTAGACTTTAACATGATTTTCCCCTAATTTATCAATTAGAAATATCAGATTTGAGTTCACTAGATGACAATAACAACAACAACAACAACACAAATAATATAATGCGAAGATCAGGGATCAGCCTCAAGTTTCACATGTCTATATCTTTTCCAATTTAAATTCATGAAAATGAATTATTTAAATTCATAAAATTAACTTTCCCCTATTTTGTCAAGGATAACCTGGACAAACCGAAGTATATTTTAAGTATGGGGCATTGTTCCTGATGACCTACAACTACAAGTTATTTCTTCTCAGTCATTTCAACTCCTTATGGAATAACTTTTGGTCTGGATCATTACCGACATAAGCAAAACAATGGCAGTGTGATTATTGAACCTACAATTATTCAAACCAATGTTCCTAAACTCACTAAGGAAAGCAAGAATTAACTCACTCTGGGAACTCACAAAACCCAAAGCAAGTCCTGGTTTTAGAATACTGCTTTAAAGCGCAATTAGAAAATGCCCATTTTTATTCTGTGTGAGATGAAAAATGAAAATAACAGTTTTCATCCCATTCGCCCATTGGCAAAATGACACACTAATTGGAACATTACATATACATTGACAAAAACCGGAGTTGCAGCCAAATTAGGGGTTACTGGAAGAAAAGTTAATCTGTACGCATACAATTTCATTAGGTGAACCCTAGTTTAGTCTTACTTATCTCATGTCCTCCCTAAGAAGCTCGAGGTACAAAATCACACTACTCACCAAAAATTAAGTATCCTGGCTGTGAAACCTAAGTGGCCCAAACTAAAGAATTTCATTAAGAATAAGAAGTCCTTAGCTTCAATACAATGAATGAGAAAACAAATGAATAAAAAAATCATCAATGGAGGAGACACCCAACCATTTTGCAGTGAGCATCAGGTTTCAAATACCATCTCAGTCTAAAGAAAGAAAACGAAAAAAGATGAGAGAAAAGCCAACCCACAAAGCATTCACCAATCCATCAAACCATGTTCAGATTAATGTGTGTGTTTCTCAGTTTCCACAATGACAAGGGTGTTAATCCAAAGAAAACAATAGAGCAGGAAAAGCATCCCCAATTTGGAATTGAAAACAAACAGACAGGGAGGAAGTCCCAGACCTTGCTTAGGGCACAGTGGAAAACAAGGGTATCTTTTCCCTTGAGATCGGCGAAGAGCTTAGGCATTTTGTCGTAGAAGGTCTCACTTGCATAATGAAGAGATGCAGCAATGTGGGCATCGTAGCTTCGCTCTTCATCCCTGACGTCGATGATGGCCACATTTGGGAGGCGTCGGAGAGGGAGGAGCTGAGACGCCGCGATGTACGATATTTGCCTCCCTCCCATCATTCTATAAATTTCCAACCTACCTGTTATTATTATTCCTCTCGCCTCGCGTTGCGTTTTATGCGAACATCTTTTCTCCCCAACTCTTTTGCCACTCCGAGGACATCCAAAAGTTTGGGTCTGGTTGAGCTGAGCACATGCTTTGGCTTTATACGAAAGATAACGTGGACCCTCTCTCCCTGTTTAAGGGACCACTCGATACTTTCTAAATTGTTATTATTATTATTATTATTATTTTGGGAGAAAAATTATAACAATTTTTAAAATCATATTTTCTAGACAACTTCTCTACGGAAATTACAAAAATTCTCAAAATTATACTTTCTAGACAACTTCTCTCCAACCAAGTATCTTTTAGGGTATGTTTCGTTTGCACGTAAATATTCTCTGGAAAATAATTAGGAGAGTGATGGTTGACAATGGGGCATCTTTGAATATTTGTCATTTGAAAATTATTCTAAGAGTAGGGTTATCTGAAACAGACCTCGAGGCTTCAAATATCTCATTTGCAGCATGTGATGGGGCTCAAAGAGAAACCATAGGGATCATCCCTCTCACTCTTAAAATTAGGCTAGTGGTCCAAATAGTAAGGTTCTATGTCATTGAAATTGAACCCTTATCTAACCTACTCATTGGTAGGTCATGGCTACATAAAAATCTTGTTGTGGCTTTCACTTTGCACCAATGCCTGAAGTTCCCTATAGCCAGAGGTGTGGCTCGGGTACGTTCAGATGCTATAAAAGTGACAAAAGAGGAGTTCTCTGAAAAATTGAAAATCCGAGAGATCTCGCTTCTGACATATAAGGAGAACTGCGCCATGAACCATATAGCGCAGAAAAAACAATCTCCCTAGACCATTGACGACTACAAACTGTCCAATAAACTAAAAGATTGTTGTGCTTGTTACGAATTTGGTTTGTACACGACATATGCTACTAGCTCAGGGTTCTACCCAGGCTCAAGCATTGGAAAAAATGGGCAAGGTGTTGCTAAGCCAATCACTAATCCCCCTCAAGCCAAAATAGATACCAAGGACCACAGAGGGTTGGGTTGCATACTTTCTAAACTTCAATGCAAACTCAAGCCTTCTTAGAATTTTGGCTTCGTTCTTGGAGGAATTTAGGGCCTAGACCATACCAAGACAGAATCTCTTCCGGAACTAAAAGTCATAATTGAATCTCCTTCGAAGGAAGATCCGTTAGGACAAAAAATTTCACGACTTACACTTGGAGTCAATATTGTGACTACCACTTCCTCGACCCCTAGGCAAAAACTATTTAAAATTGGAGTGTCAATCCTCTATCAATTGAATCCATTAAGGGGGTACAACGATACTTTCAAGTACCTGTGCCAAAAAATGGGTTGGCACATCCTGCGCAAAGCTCCTCTGACACCATCATCACTCCCGTTGTAGAAAATGCAGTCAAGACCCTCAACAAACCCAACGAAAGCTCGGGTCAAGTCAAGGGAGAAAATAAAAACAAAACGAGGACTCACATGCCAATGAAAATTTTGAGGCAGTTGAAGAACCTCCATTTGAGGAACTCATGTTCCAAGCTGAGCAGTTAAAGATAAGATTTGAAGGTAGCCCTACTGCTATTATCGAGGAAACCTTGGACATCAACTTAGAAACTGAGGAAAGTCCAAAAATTACAAATAACAAGGCAAGATGATCTCTCCCTTAAGAGAATATATAAATATCTTTGACTGGTCCTATGATGACATGCCTAACTTAAACCCTGAACTGGTACAACACCATATTGTATTCCACAAAAGGGCAAAAGCTATGAAACAAAAACTCCGAAACAAAAACTATGTAGACAAAAATCCTCACTTGGAGCTGAAGATAATAGAAGAGATTGATAGGCTTTTGAAGGAAAATTTCATCTCACATGTGGACTATCCAGATTGGTTAGCCAATATTGTGATAGTACCTAAGAAAGATGGAAGAATAAGAGTCTGTGTCGACTATAGGTGTCAAAGCCTCACCTCCTAACCCCTTGCCGTACTTGCCGGAGGGCAACAGGGTATGGGACCGCGACCAAAGGTAGCAAATGCCACTCAGGGGGGAGTGTACTCAACGCTTTTGAAAATAATGAATCAAAGTAAACCACAAAAGAAAACAAAACTTCAAACACAACCATCAAAAGTTGGGCAAACTAAAACCAAAATATATATAGGAGCTCCAAAATTATTACAAATATGTCCAAGGCACTAAAGGCCCAGCAACAAATACATAACATCAAAACAAAACATTATATGGCCAAACTGCCATCTAAAACCTACAATAAAAAAGAAGCTTCTTCGCCAAGTTCGAGGCTCCAACCATCATCCGTGATTGCCCAACCATCCGTCCTCAAATTGCAAGTTATCACTCTACATTGAAGAAAGTCAAAGAAACGAGCTATGAAACCCAATAAGTAGATCAAAGCGTCAAGCATTCCTGCCTATACAACATTATTCATAACCGTTCCCAAGATTCATACAGTTTTTCCAACATGGAGTCATGTATCACAGTTCTTTTATTAGCAATGTGTCGTGAGTAATTTCTTTCATGATGGAGCAAGCACAAATCAGATATCAAATGAGCTAACAGTTTATCAAATCTATCCATCGAAATAACAAATCAATAATTCTGGCAAACATATAATAATTGCAGGCAATCCTAATATCACCTATTCCTTAAGTAGAAGCCTTATCAGTCAGGCCAAGCCAAATCTCATTGCTTAGGACTTCCACCATTACTCAGAAGGGAAGACAATGACAAATGGATGATCCATTTCGTAATGTCTTCACATACATACACACATACAATCCCCAACATGTTTTGGGGCTTTTGATAGGCAGTGGACTTGCAAGACACGACCCTTATTTGCTCTCTAGCTGGAGGGTGTTATACCACCAATGGATATCATTGCGTAGTGTCATTTATACATATATTGGGGGTGTGACCCACCCATATGACTCATATCCTAACTCCTTTCCTATCATCAGGAGTCAGGGAAAGATCTCAGCTACTGGCACAACTTTATTATCATATCATATCACATTCTTATCTTACCATATCATACTACCAATGGGCATTCACAACAATGACATCTTCATAGAAAAAGGGGCATAATTTCCAAACCACAAGGAATTTCATTTGATTCCAAAATCATATTTAAATTATACTCACTTATATTCATTTAAAAGTGGTTTGAGCTCATTCTGACATGATTTGGTTCGCAAACCGTTCAATACAAAAACATGTAAAGTTTTTGGAATTTCTTTTCACTATTTTGGCATGTTCTAGCAAATGGCTCATAACTTTCCAATCAAAAGAGATATTGATATCGGGTATTTTTCCTATTAAAATAGACTCAAAGCTGTACTTTCCCACAAAATTTCATAATCAACAGAGATAATTTCAGTGCTAGAGTCATAATCCTGGAAAAATAGAGTGCATACTTAACAAAATTTCAGAAGCATCCTTCCACAATCACATACATATCCTACTCAATTTTCATGCTTTAACAAAATAAGTTGAACATGCATCAAACAAGGCATGAAATATGGGGTCTTAGATCCACTTACAGTATTAAAAAAAATCTAATTGCACTCCAAAAGGCCAAGCACACCTTAAGGCTAAGGAGGGTGGGCGTGAGAGAGAGAGAGAGAGAAAGCAAAGTCTTAAAGAAAGGTGAGAAGGGGTTTAAATAGGCCAAAGGGAGGAGGTGGGAGCATGCAAAAACCAAGTGGCATAAAAGAGACATGCAGGTGCAAACAATCATGGGAGAAAGATTCCTCTGCGCTCGGTGGCTCCACAGTCTTCTATGTACGATGACATCCTTATACATGACGGTGTCCTCACACACGGTGGTGTCCTCACATCTCCATGTATGACAGTGTCCTCTGCTCTCTCTTGTGCACAGCGGTGTCCTCTGCTCTCTACTGCGCACAACGGTATCCTCTGCTTTCTGTTGCTCACGGTGGCAACATGCATGGAGGCATCACGCACGGTAGCAGAAAATCTTGAGTCCTTACAATAGGGTGTTTGAAGACATTTTTCAGCACCATGGGTCCCCGATGCGGAATAAAAGAGAGAAGCGGGTCAATAAAGCTTGACAAACAGTGGAAATTTTAACAGTCTCAAAATGGCCCCAAAACAAGTCAAGATCTTCATAGAGAATCCTAAAAGTCTCCTGCCAAGTTTCGTCACATTCTGACATCTCTAAGGCAGTGCAAACTGAGAAACAGTTATGACAGAATTAACCTCTAGTAGCCTGAAATGGATGTCTACAATTGGAACCCTACTCTAGAAGCATCAAATGGCTGTAAAACCACCTCCATTGGATTCGGCATGGTTGAAAACTCCCAAGGGTCAAATTTCAGCTTAAACGGACACTCCATGAAGAAGTTATGGGTAAAAGACCGAAACAGGAGGAGTCGCACACTATTCTCATGTGGCGACCTTGCAACTAAGCTTCATTAAAGCACAATCACGAATAGTGAACTTGCAATGTCCATATCTCTCTTCTCCGATATTGGATCACGCTCAAACTTGTTGGAACGTGTTCGTCTTGTCGAAACGAGCGTTTTGATATGTGGTACGTCTTGTGATAATGTTGGAGCAAGGAGAAAAGCTAGAGAGAAGTTCATGATTTGAAGAAACATGTTGCAGAAAATCAGCAGGACCTCCCGTCAGTCGAGCAGCCATATCACAGCGCCTGCGAGCCCTATCGACACGAGACCAGTTGCATCGCATGCATTACGTCTGTGGCTATCGCAGGTCCGAACCCTATGCGTGATGATTGGTCGGATTTTGCATAAGATCTAATTGTAGTCATTGTAGATTCCGATAGCCAGAATCCTATGTTTCTGCCGAAAGTTCAAGATTGTCTATTGGAAGACATTTTTTAGCACCATGGGTCCCCGATGAGGAATAAAGGGGGAAACCGGTCAATAAAGCCTAACGAATAATGTAAATTTTGACAGTCTCAAAATGACCCCAAAATTGGTCAAGATCTTCAAAAGAGCTCCTAAACTTCTGCTGTCAAGTTTCATCACAATCCGACATGTCTAAGGCAGTGCAGACTGAAAGACAGTTTCGGTAGAATCAACCTCTAAAACGGAC